GCTAAAGAGATGTTTTTTCTAGGAAAAATGTTTTTGATGTCAGTATATGATCCAATTATAGAAGAATATTTGAAACGTATCATTTTGTGAACTTTTACCGTCGTAAACGGGTGCGTTTGATGTGTTACCATACTGTATGCTTTCGATATATAACGTGTAGCGTGTGTGCTGTTATATGTTATGTTGTGGGTAGCCGTATGGCGTGAATCCTAGATTATGAAATCGATTGTGAAATGTGGTCTTTTGGCAAATATTTGCATTGTTTAAATTGATTAAAAGTGCATGATGAATGTGATTGAGTTTGTTGCCGTTTGCGCGATATTGTGAATGTATATTGTTTGTATGTGATTGTATGTGAAGAATGCATGAGAACATATTAGTGAATATGTGTGCATTGCTTGATAAATGTGGTGATGATGTTGAAAGTATGAATACTTTGATGAAATATGTGTATGTGCAAAACTCGTACTCACTGCGATAGAATGATAAGATATCGTTCCTAGTGGAATAATCACCGGGGTAGAATAACTGAGATGTTGTTCCTGGTGGGGTGCTCCATGGGGTAGAATGATAAGATATCGTTCCTAGTGAAATGATCACCGGGGTAGAATGACAAATGTTATTCCTGGTGAGGTATAGTGACATGGTCGTATACACTGGGGTAGAATGACTAAGATGTCGTTCCTAGTGGAATAATCACCGGGGTAGAATAACTAAGATATTGTTCCTGGTGGGGTGCTCCCTGGAGTAGAATAACTGATATGTTATTCCTAGTGGAGTTTACGTGATACAGTCGTACGCACTGGGGTAAAATGACTATGATGTTGTTCCTAGTGTTGGTGTTCACTGGGGTAGAATGACTATGTGTCATTCCTAGTGAAATGATCACCGGGGTAGAATGACCGAGATGTTGTTCCTGGTGGGGTACAAGCGATGTACCCATAGTCTCAAATGGAGATTGATGAGAATTGATGAGTTGCATTGAGTTGCATTGAGTTGTATTGAGTCACATGGCATAGAGATAAATGTTGTATGAATATATGCATATGTGCATGAATTGTTGAATTGAGAACTTTGGATATATGCATGATAAATATGCTTAATGTTATATATATATATATATATATATATATATATATATATATATATATATATATATATATATATATATATATATATATATATATATATATATATATATATATATATATATATATATATATATATATATATATATATATATATATATATATATATATATATATATATATATATATATATATATATATATATATATATATATATATATATATATATATATATATATATATATATATATATATATACTTTATGATGAATTGTGATGAATAAACATAATTGTAAATGTTTATGTGCAATAATGTGAATTGTGAATGTGTAATTGTGAATGATATTGACTGAAGAATTAATGAATAAACATGATTGTATATGTTTATATGAATTGTGGTGAATTAAACATAATGTGTATGTTTATGTGGATTGATTGAAATTATGGATGTGAGCATGATGAATATGCTTGGTGGTTATCCATATTTGTTATATCTATATATTGTGATGTATATGATGAGTTATGATAGATTGTGGTGAGAAATGTGAAATAAGTGTTTTCTATGCTTGTGTTTATATATATATATATATATATATATATATATATATATATATATATATATATATATATATATATATATATATATATATATATATATATATATATATATATATATATATATATATATATATATATATATATATATATATATATATATATATATATATATATATATATATATATATATATATATATATATATATATATATATATATATATATATATATATATATATATATATATATATATATATATATATATATATATATATATATATATATATATATATATATATATATATATATATGATTATATGCATTGTTATTATGATAATATTTTTCACCCTTCTGCTAGAATGATGTCATATCTGGCATCGTGCAGGTATCAAGAGTAGAGCTGCTTGTAGTTGCGAAGTCGCTATTGGTGTAGTTGTTTAGTAATTTAATTATGTTGGGTCGAGTCATGCTCTAGTCATGTAACACTGGGATCGTTTGGTTTGTATCTTAGAGATACATTATGTATTCTATGTTATTTTTTTATATTCATTGGAATATTATGATGTTGGCTTTGGTGCCTAAGTAATGTTGAAGTATGTGATGAATCTGAATATTCTTTTAAGAGAATTATGTTATAAAATGAATCCGCTGCTACATGCAAAGTGAAATTGTGAGAAGCATGATTATTTATTATAAGTGTTAATGAGCATGACAATTGGTTTTGATGTTTCGAAGTTATGTGTGATGCCCTTTTGTGAATGCATGAAAATTTACTCTGATTATTCGCATATTTTCCGTGGGGTTTAGAAGGGTGTTACATCGGTAGCGCCAACGTTGCTTTCCTTGGAAAATCTCACCTTTTTTCTATGTTAATATCATTTCCTTTGATGTAGCATTCTTCCTTCACTCTGATCTTTGCCATGGAAGCCGTTGGCCTTTGGAAAAGAGACTTGTTCAAATGTTCAACACTTCAACCCTTAGACCATTGTGGAATACTTCTACAAACATTTCTTGATTCAGATGTATAAATTTGATGGTCCCTTAATTAAAACGGGTGATATATTCCCTTAGCGACTCACAAAACCCCTAGAGGACATTTTAAAGGTTTGTGGTTGACACTTTCTGGTGCTTACTTGCAAGTAACTAATAAGTTAATTTCTTCATTAGTTCTTGGTATATAGTGATCGATTAACGACATAAGTTCATGTACTGTCTTAGTGTGGCTTCCTTAAACACTTTAGAAAGTAAAGGATTCGCTAGCGCCAATGATATCCATCTAATTGTTGATGGAGGTGACATGATCCTTTGAGTCGCTTCTTTAGTTGAACTTTGTCAATGATGGGGTTTAAAGTTTTTTGGGATGGGGGCACTCCAAATTTCATCATAGAGAAGCTATGGGTCATGGATTTTTGAGTGATAATGACGATTTTTGATGTTAACAACATTATGCTCCATAGTTTGATTGTGGTGGCAGAACTCTTCCATAGCGGATTGCATTTCTACTATGATATGGTGGTCATCATGTGAGCTGTTATCGGATGAGATGGTATCTCATGTTTGTACCATCTTTAGGATGGTGGTTGAGGCAGTTTTTTTATGTGAATACGAGAGTAGCCTAGGTTATTTTTACTTAGGCCACACAATGGGCTCCAATTGTACTTGCTAAAAGTACAATAGAAGAGAATAGGGGCATGCTCTCATGATGACTAATAAAGATCATGTGCTTTCTCTCCTGAAATTTTGTCTATATTCAAACTTGGAGGCTTGGGGTATTTATAGAGACCCTTAGGCTTAGTTAAGGTTAGATCCAATAACCCCGTCATGGAGAGCATTGGGGTAGAAAGAGTCATTTCTTCCTAGATCACAGGGAGATAGTTTTCTCCCTTCCCTAATATTGCGACAGATAAGGAAGAACACAGGTTGAGTCTTCTCAATCATGGGTGGGAGACTCAAATCTCATAAGGCGATTAGCTACCTCGTTCAGACAACCATGCCACTTTGGGATCCCACGCATTCTTTGAGCTACTAACCCTTTTTTTTCCGTTCCTATATGAGCTTTTACCCAAACCATACTTTGTCACATTCCATTCCTTATTTAGACCAAAATAAATTATTCTAGTCTACAGTCCCTGAGGCCTTGGAAAGGTTAAGTGATTTAATTCCATTGTATTAGCATCGAGAAGTTTCGTAAATTTACTTCAGAGACGTATGTGACGACTCCCTCAAGCATCATTTATGGTTAATTCATCAATTAAAGCGTAGGAGAGTCCTTAAAGTGTATCGAAAGTCTCAAATCACAAGGCAAGTTGCTTTGTCAAAATAAGCTTTTAAATACCAAAGTTTTCATTCGCTAAGACGAAGGTCTAATGACAAGTAAATAAGAAGTTAGTTTTATAAAACATGAATTACACCTTGCAACCTCCTAGGAACTGAGAGTCTCCAATAGCAAGGATATTCGCTTTGACAAAGCAACTTTTCGAGTATTGAGTCTCCAATCACTAATACAAAAGCTTTATAGCGCATAAAACTATACTTATGAACGAGATTATACTCGTCACATTGTAAGTAATCAATACAATCTCACAATCCTACCATTTGGATAGACATATTACTACTAAGTCTTATTGTCCTCTATATCAATTCTCATAACTCCAATTATTATCAAAATATTAAATAAAGATAAATTGAATTTGTACCAATGTTCTTACATTTATCTGACTCGCACCGTTATTGCGCGTTTAATATGACGTGAAAATTTGGCATCATTGTAATAATGCCTCTATCTATGTCTTGTGGAGTACTCTTATTGAATGATTATTCTGATTTTTTATTTTTGATAGAATGTTTGGGTCGTGTTGTTGTCTTGTATTCACACCACTTTAGCATGTTGACATTGAATTGCGACTTTAAGATATAGTTTTATTACAATTTACATGCTTTTTATAGTTTCCGTCGATGTTCCTCCAATCTCCGTGTTCCATCCCCTCGTTTCTTCTTCATCATAATTTTAACAATAGGATACTTTCCTTGTAGTTTGATCTTTACCACAATTCTTAGTATTCTTTATTCCGGTTCTATAGATTTTAGTATTATCCACAACCACATTCATCAACCTAACTATTAATAGAATTTTAAACTTGGTAAGGCATAACTATAAGCTCATAAATAGAAACTAAAAAATTGTTTAGGAAAAATTATCTCCTATGATCATAAATATTTCCTTTATTAAGAAAATCCATGTGGTTGGTAACGATGAAACTTATGCTTTTCTCAAGTCCTATATAATGGCTTATGATCTAAACAATAACAACATTCTATTTATTGTATTACTACTTCATTTTATCTAACAACAAAAAATGGCTTTCAAGGCAACGGTAAAAACAATTCCATTTTTCAATATTACATTTCAAAGTTCGTTAAGACTTTAACATTGTAACATGATTTATGCATACATGCAGAAAAATTTGCGATTCATGGTGACTCAATTGGGTGGAGCTGGAACACGTTCATTTACTACCTTCACCACTCCAAAAATGAAACCTATGTCCACAACCTTAGATGCTGCACATAATACTCATTCAACTTCTAGGTGCGCAATATAAAACCTAGATTGTCCGCTAGTGTCATGCAATCACACCGACAAAAGGATCTTGATCATCTGATTTAATGAGACGCTCACATCTCTAACTGCGTGACTGTCAAAAAGATCTTTACCGTCTCTAATCAGACAGTCAAGTTTCCGACTGCGTGCAATCACACGTCAGAAAAATCTTGACTATCTGATCTACTGACAGGGTGACTGCATACAGTTGGTGACGATTCATGTAATATCACATGTGTCAATATTTAATTTCTAGCTGCATTATTTGTGTAGGTTGGGCTCATTGAAGGCAGAGTTAACACCAGTGTACATTGTGTGTGGAATGGTGGGTGTGGCTGTGATCTTTGCATCACACACTGCCTATCAACAATTGGCACGTTCTCCAACTGTTCATGTGAACAAGAAAAGAAGAGAATCATTGCCTGAAGTTTTTGATCCTGATAGAACTATCAACTCTGCTGATAAATTCATCAATGGCAACTTCTTTAGGAAAATCACTCATATTCAAGACAGCAAACCCACTGTCCACGATCCTGTCCACCCTAATCCATTCACCCGGTAATTAACTTCATTTCTTAACTATAATCATTGATTTTGAGCCCGTTTGTTACAGTTTTATTTATTGATATGGATGTGGTTTATTTGTTGCAGTGCTCGAACCGCCGAGACGTTGAAGTCGGTCGGCGTGGAGCCGGGCAGGCGCTGATTTGCTGATTCTGTTATCAATGAAAATGGTGGCCAATATATGTTTATATATGATGGTTGCTTCCATCTTTCATTTTTGGATTATGAAAATGGAAGATGTGAAGGTTTTAAGTTAGTGTATATAATTTGTTTTTTGGTTTGTGTTTATTCTATGTAATTTTTGTAAATTAATGATGCTGCATTAGCAGCTCTTTCTATTGTATACAATAAGTAACTTATAAAATAATGCCACCACAAAGTTATCGTTCTTATTCTATACTCTCTCTCATAAAAAAGATATTTTATTTGAACTATTTGTCGTTTTTAAAAAATAATTAAACGAATTAATTTTAATAATAAAATTAGTAGTATTATTTATTAAAATAACTTAGTTGTAGTTAGTAAAGTTATTGAATATAGTTAAAATTAATAAATAAGATATAGGAGTGATGGGTGTGAACAAATGGCAGTATGCATGAGAGAAACGTGGAAAAACAAAAATAAAAATAAAAGTGAAACATTGAAATTATTAATAAATAAGAGGTCTTAAATAACCGAATGGAATAACGGTCAAATGAGGATAATGTCCTAACAAATTTTTTCAAACTCTAACTGACCTATAACTAATTTCATTAATCTCTAACGGAGTAAACAAAGAGTAATGGAAAGATTAAAGACAACTTCTCTATCCATTAGTTACATAATATATTGTCAACCAATCAATCAATATCATAGTATTTTATTATATTTTATTATTTATTTAATATTTTAATTTTTATAAACTTCTAATGCAATTTACACGGATAATTCTATACAATTTTTTAAATGGATAGATAAGAATTCACCAAGATTAAAAGGCTAATAAATGTAAATTACTCATAATTTGATCCTCTATCTAAAATTAGACAGTTATGGATTACACACAAAAAAAATTAATTACGTGATTTTCAGTCACAAAGTTGAAAATCAATTAACAATGTGGAAAATCACGTGGCAAAAATATTTGTAACAACTTTTTAACCACGTGAAAATCACGCTACAACTTTGCAACGTGATTTTTATATTACAACACTTTGCCACATAATTTTCACACCACAAAATTCAACATAGATTGCAAATTTGGATTGTTATGTGTCAGAAATTTGCTACGTGAAATTCATACCACAAACTTGTCACATGAAAATATTGTAATAAATATTTACATAAATTTAATATTATATATATTATGTGTTTATAATAAAATATTTAATAAACAAATATATTAAAACGAAAATAATATATATATATATATATATATATATATATATATATATATATATATATATATATATATATATTTATTTATTTATAATATAAAAATTAAAATTAAAATATTTCTGATAAAACCTCATCGTGGAAGAAAAATGGTGGAGGGAAGAAAGAAGAAGAAAATGAAGGAGGGGATTCGATGGAGAAAAAAGAAGAGGAAAGGTTGAAAAAATAAGAAGTGGGAAAAGATTTTAGAAACATGATAACGTGTGAGAAAGAACAAATTTGACATGTGAAAATCACGCCACAAATTTACCACATGAAAATCACTCTACAAAATGATAAAGTTGTCGACCCAATTAACTCAACCGGTCAACATTTTCCACTCAAATTTTTAAATTTTGATTAGTTACATGAAATGCATGTCACAACTATTTTTTTTTAGAAATTGTACAAAAACCTAACATTTATTATTTTAAATATTCAATAACATGATTTTTATGTCGGATCCCTCCTTTTTAGTAACTAGGTTGTTAAAAGATCCTATACGGAAAGACTTAGGAAATATGTCAACAACTTGGTTAGGGGGTCAATAGGCATAAGGTGAATAGTTATAACTGACTTTGAAGAAATTTTCTCATATGTGGTGAAGAGACATCAATTAAAATTATGTCGAGATTAATAGTTAGCTTGAATCTAGAGGTTGGACAACTTAATGTGAAAACTGAATTCTTTCATGGTGATTTGGAGAAATTTATATGGAACAACCTAAAAACTTTGAAGTCAAAGATAAAGAGACATTTTTTGTAGATTAAAATAAAGTTTGTATGGTCTCAAACAAAATCCACAAAAATGTAACAAAAAGTTTGATTCTTTCATGAAAAGAAATGATTATGGTAAAAACTATTTGTTAATCATTGTTTGTTTGTGAAAAAAATTCTCTGATTGTAATTATTTTCTTGGTATATCTTGATGACATATTATTTCTGAAGGTGTTTTTAAAGTTTCTTCAACGAGAAATCTTCATAACTATGCAACAATTTCTTCCTGTATCATTTTCACGAGGGTGACAATTTTGCAATGATTGCACCAATTTGAAAAGTTTCTGAAATGTCTATTTTTACAACTTTTGTTTTATTCACGAGAACTTGTAACTTGTGTACTTGTGCAAGAATCGACTTGGAGTTTGACATTTTAAAATCAAAATATTTAGATATTAAGAACTTTTTTGTACCTTCCTTTTCAGTCTTGAATTTGAATTCGAGTGCTTTTTAAATTTTTGTTGCAGATTAAGTATCAGTGTATAAATCATGTAAATGGTCAGATAATATGTTTAGAATAGTCCACGACATACCAATTCATCTTCCTTTCGCGTCTTTTATTCCTTTTTGACTACATCGGTTTCATCTTCTGTTGGTTTTGAAATTGGTGTCAGATTATAAGATATAGTGAATCTTCAAAGCAGTTAATAGAAACGTCATCTTATCTTGTCAACAGGTAAAATTCATTCCATCGAAAAGATCCAATTTAACAAGATCAATAATAACAAGTATCTCCTTAATGTTCTGATTAGTGGCAATTTAAGAATGATGCTTTGTTATGATAGTTGGTTTTGTTGTTTGCTTATGCCGAGTTGGTTATTTGCCTAGGTGCTTGTTATTTTCTTAATGTTGGTTGAATTTGTGGCTTTTTTTTTATTTGAGTACTTTTTATACTCCTCGTAATTTTTGTCACGTCTATCAGCTTTTCACAGCTCATCAAATGACTCAGATTAAGAAGTGGTGGTCGTATATAATACGCACATCATTAATTACTAAACACATACTACACTAAAAACATGCACCACTTTTAACTGAAACAGACCTTTAAAAAACGCATACATACTAGTAGTAGTACTACTAGTTTAAGCTGGAAAATAAAAACAGTGACATTTGGATTGGAAAGACGACAACCTAATATATGAACAAAATTAGCGTAGCTACGCACATAAACTTCCTCCAAAACGTACATGAATCAAAACAAAAATATACTATATAGTATATACCCAAAAATAAAATACAAAATAAAAAAATATATGTCCCACTTGCATATATTATGTTAATATTTGATAGATTTATATTTTATTTTATACCTTATATATTCCTCCTGACACCAGGAAGCAGATTATGGCTTTTGCTTATTGCAAAAAATTGACACCAGCCCTTCACCCTCCTTGATATTTGATCTTCCGCCCATTTCTTTATATTTTATTATTCAATACTTTTGGCTTGTATATTGGCCATAGGATGGAGAACGGTCGGGCCGGTTCGATTTTCGGGTCTAAAAACTCCAAACCGACCTAATCATCGGTTGAGAAATATATAATCAATTTTGTTTGAATTAGAATTTGGTTTTTCCGATTCGGTTTTATAATGTGGTTTATTTAGTTTTAATAATAATTGAGCCCATTCCAAAATAAGTTCAATTCACACATTGGACCAATGATAGTCCAGATTTAAAACTCTACAAAAACAATTTGAAAATTACTTATTGCACCTAATATATTTCTAGCGCACCGTGTAAATTTTCAAATATGCCCTCCGTTTTCAAAGATATATCTTCGGACGCACCCTTTGTACATTCAACAAAGACAATTTTGAGAGGCGCCATATATATTGAGTTTAATTTGTTTCAGAGATGTTTCTCTGAGACAAGTCCGTAATTACATCTCCGAAAAAACACCAGAAACATATTCAACAGAAAATGAACTTTCCAAAATGCAATTGACATTCATAACATAAAATGATCATTACAATGATGATTTCAACAGAAAATTCAATATTACATTTCAATAATTTGTTGGACGCTTGCACATCTTTCGGATATGTTCGATCGATCTTTGTAGTGTCGCTTCCAACTCGAGCGAAACTTTCTCTTCGAAATTGAAATATGTATCCCATATAGCCCTAACATCCGCTCGAGTCTTGAGCTCAAATTTGTTGAGCACAATGTTCCCTTTGTTGTCAACCGAAGTTAAACGGTACTCGACCTTCACAATCCTTCGTTTGTCCTCATAAGGTAAGAGATAGTTGATTTCGGCTATGATATCTTCGAGGGGGTGAGATCGGTGAACTTAAACATCCTCCCGTGTGTAGAGTTGCCGAAGTTAGAGACCTTTGTGACATTCCAATGAATGTTTATTTGTGGCATTTGATACATTTTGAGTTTGTGTGAAATATAACATAAGAACACCTAAATTTATAGGAGACCTAAATTTAACCGTCATGTTGATTCTGAATATATATATCTCTGAAACCGCACACTATTATCTTGTTTCGGAGATGTATTTCCAAAACTTCTCATGAACCATTTCAAAAAAAAAGAAACATATAACAAAATCTTTCGGAGATGTATCTTCGAAACTTCTCTTGAAACATTTTCAAAATAAAATCATATAACATAACCTTCATAAAGACCAAATATGGGCCAAATATACATAAAGACCAAATATGAATAAAAGGTGAAAATGTAACATTTCATTTATATTGAGATACAAATATATACAATTATTTGTCCAATTAAACAAGAAATCAAAACAAATCGAAACATGTGTCGCTGGCTAAATCTATAGGTGGTACCCCCTTGGACTTTTGTGTATTCGATTCTTTTACAATGTTGTTCAATCTCTTAAATTCTCGCAACCTTTCCATAAAATGATTCGACCATGTCTCGACTTTTGCAGTTGAATGAGTCGTCTACTCCGATGATGTAAGTGGTATGGGGCAACCCGGTTTC